ATGTGTAGGCATCAATGCGTATCTATGTAGCAAAAGGGTTTATGGTAACTATAGTTTGCTCATGGTTGTAGATGGTCCGATGCACAATCCTCCCGAATATTAACTACATGTTGTGCAGAGCTGCACCTCCTGCAACTGGTCGATCTGAGCCTCTGATCGAGACCTGCCTACCTTCTTGCTATTGGTCTGTTAGCTGGTACTCGCATCTCCAAAAAGGTTGAAGCAAATTGGCATTACTTGGCTAGACTGGCCTTCTGTTCTCAGACTAAATTCTTACTTTCTTGCCTGAAAAAATATCAACTCCTTATCAAGTGGCATAATACCAGTCCTAGGATGAAAATGATATTCGCTTTGAGTCTCAGCCATCTCTACTTCCTGACTGCTACTTCTTTTCTGCACTTTGCTCTTTGAACACCCTTAAGTTAGAACTTTAATGTTCGCACAAGTATAAATGCAACAGCTATGCGACCGTCTCCAAATGACAGATGCACATGTTGTCATACGTGCAGTGACACACAAGGCTAAATTTGCCTGCTCTTTAACATCTCAGTCTGGTATTGTAATCTGACTGTGGCAAATAAAAACAAATTGGCTAGAATTGTTAAAGTTGCTGGAGAAATGATAGGTTGACACCACACACTATAGATTTGTTATATAACACAGGAAAGCTCGATTCGTTGTTGGTGTCACTGAACATCCCCTTTATTCCGAATTTAAATTAATGCCTATGGGATGACAGTCCCAACCTTTGGCTCATACAAAGATATGTATGGTATTATTTGTGCCAGTTGCAGTCAGTCTAATGGACAAGCAGCTGTGAATATCCCCATATGCATCACTATGTTTGATTGCATGTGTGTGTTAATTGTTTGCATTGGTCTTAGTCTCTGGCTGTTTTTATTGTAGGTACAATAACATATTTGGTTTTATCTGTTACTTGTTTTACATGTCATGTGGTTGCGTTTTAAGTGAGCCAAAGATCGTTTTCCACTTTGATGGACAGACAATAAAGTTCTGTTTTTTTCCTGTCCTGTAGACAGCCTTGATACAGACTACATACAGACAGACCTATAGCCAATCCAACACCCCCTGCCTGTCAAGCATCAATTTGTTCACTCTTGTTAGATAATGTAGCTGAAGATAATTTGAAGAAGTGCCATATTTGATGGTATTATTTAAGGATAAATATCATATTAAACTATGTTAACCCTCAGGATAAACCTCCAGATAATGATACATCTACCAGATAATCAGCCCACTGTGAACAGGGAAAGACGGAGAGGGAGTATTATTACAACTCTTTTTGATATGTGGTCAAGCTACCTGGTACAAGAATACGTGCTCAATTATGCTTGAATAAGTTAGTCTCTGACTATCTAATTTCAACCCCTGGAGCAGCATGCAATTTTGTCCTAGTAATTATTTCAGAACAAATTAGTTTTCTATAGTTGCCTTTAATGTGTCTGAATCAGGCAAAGCAGGATATAGAGGCAGTTTAGGAGTCTCTTGGTATTTACAGAGTGTGAAAACCTCTATTTAATTGAGTGAATCAATAAGTGCTCTAATGCACTGTCAAAAGACCTGGAGAAATTAGCAATTTATTTAACTAACATTATTAGACATTTAGCTGATCCAGGGTTTTGGGCCTTGTATCATTTAGTCTGTATGATGAAGATATAAATTTTGGATTGTCCCGATAAATTCTAACCTGAGGAAAACTAAGATGGGAAAAAATGTCTTCTGTAGTTTCACCACGATGCCGTACAGTATATTTAAAGAGGCATTGTTCAAATCAGGCCTCTCTACCCTTTTTTCCTCAGAGAACTACTTGGACAAAATGAGCATGGCTGTGAACCTGAGTTACTGTTATTCACATTTAGCATTAAAACACGTGCTCTCTAAACCAGACTAGCTGTACATGCTAATTGTTTTGTGTAACTAGTGTTCAGTCCTCATATTTTGTAGCAGATTCAGTGATCACATGCCCAAACAGAATCTGTTATTTTATTTTATTTTTTCTATTTACTTTTCAGCAAAAGTAAGCACAAAAAGGCATTAAAGCAGCCTAATGTAATTTTGAGCAGAGTGAAAGAAGTCACATTATATGAACTCTTTAAATATGAATTTTTTTTATTCCATCTAGTCAAAGTGTCAACATTTGTTAGATTCTAACAGCATAAAATTTAAGAACACATGGCCACTGAAATACAAAGTTCGTTTTCTTTAGAGGTGTGTTACTGACCAGTCACTGCTCGTTTTCAGACAGTTTTGTCAGGAGACAATATCTCTAACAGACATTAACCTGGGTTGTTCACATAGGCTACTTGGGGGAACAGCTCTAGAAGGTGACATGAGTACTGACACTGATTGTTATGTAAGGAATGGAAATGAAGCACTAGACAGCGATGTGCAACTAGCCAATCAAGGCGTGAAGTAGATGTGAATGTCAGATCCTTGGCTTGGAAAATGACAAAAAACATTCACAGCATGACACAACTGTTGCGCACAGGCAGGTGGGGTAAACATGTGCTTGCATTCTGAGTTTCTACTTTCTTTTCAAAATCTGCTGATGTGTTGTTGGAATTCTGTGGGCACAGATTCCGTCTGTCAAGTTCACAAAACATACCTCTATTCACTAATCAGAACCTTGGTTATTGTATGTGTGGGCTGCTAATTACCACATTCAACAGCACCCAGTTGCTACAGTTTGTGTCACATCTGGACACACAGACATGACAAGTTTGGATTCAGTGTCACTGTCTTTTTCCAATGATCTAATTATCTCTGATGTGCATTGGAAATAAATGTTCATAAACACTTAGAAATCATAGATAGATGACTTTTTTATAATATCAGAGTAATTTATTGATGTCTGTATATAGCAACCAGGAACTGCTGAGAGCAAAGCTGGTATAGCGTAGTTTGCCTTAAAGTAAACAAATATAGGCTAAAAACTAGGCACATGTTGCTGAACACAGTGTACTTCCTGTTTTTTTTTGTTTGTTTGTTTGTTTTTGGTAAATGTTTATATCAATTCACTAAAGTGAAAACTTGTAAACATTTAATGTGACATTGTCCAAAAGAGTTACAAATGTCACAGAGCAGCTTAACGTATAAAGAAGTATGGTTCATTTGATTGACAGATGATTGGCAAATAATGATTTGGTGTTGGAGGAGTGCAGATCTTTGGTGTATTTGGACTGCAGTTCTCACAGGTTTAATGAGTGAAGCTGTGTTATTTAATGTCTGTTCTATGGATTAGTGGTGTGTGTGTGTGTGTGTGTGTGTGTTTGTGTTTGTATATACTGCAGGCCTGCTGTACTCTCTAAACCTTAAAGCTAACTATTCAGAAACAGTGAGCGAGCAGCTGGTACCTGTAGTTCAAGAGTGACGTGTTGGAGACTCTGGGTCTGTTTCTTCTAAATCAAAATTCCTGTTCTAGCGCACAATTTTTAACTCCTTTCATATGTTTGAATTTTGACTATAGAACATTAATTTCATAAGTCTAAGTATTGAACATTTCCAATCTCAGTACAAGTTATATGGGGTTGTTTTTTTCCAACTTTACAAAAATCCAGTCTCATTATTTTTTTCTTAGTTTTTCACAAACCTGATACTGTAGCCTTATCCCTATTGTCATCATTGCTTAGGTAGTTTACTTTGTCCAGATCTGTTGGTCACGGTTGCACCTGTCTAATAGACTCACTGAGCATGGTCATTGCAATCATTGTTCATATTGTTTATAACAATTACACTACATCTAGATAACCTGGAGGGCAGGAATAAAGTACTCTGAAAAGCATTAGCGGATGTTTTACCCCCATTCTCCACAAATGAGAGCAAGGCCATTAACATTTGTGTGTTTTCATTATGTAAATGGTGTTAACACATACTCACAAATTGCCAACAGGAAAGCAATAATTTTCTCCTAGTGATCATAATGTGTCCAAGTGCATCGTCTTGATTATGACACGCTAATTACATATTGCCTCGTCTCTCCTTCTCTGTCTTGCCCTACAGATTCAGAAAAGCCAAGGATCTCTAATGGTAAGTTTTATTGCATTAGAATAGGAGGGAAGAAAATAGAGGTCTCCCACACTATAGTCTGTTACTCTTGGTTGGCTCTTTCATTTGAAAAAACACTCAAATTGCATTTTTGTAGTGAAATATGAGATCATGCTTAAACTGCTGGTATTACATTAGGTGCCATTATGGAATAATAAAAACATTCAGGAGCTGAAGGATGGCTTTGCCTAAGCTTGCTGCATTTGATTAATCTAAGTAGATACGGTTTTATCACACTATTGATTTTCCCTACTGCCAAGAAATTCCATGTAGGATATTGTTGTTTTTTTCCCCTCAAATCTCCCTCTCTCTCCTCTTCCAGCCTCTGCAGTTACTGCAATGCATCGTTGATGAGGTGAGTCGTCGTCTTATGTGCTTTTGCATCTAAAGTCAGTCCTAATGGCCCGGAAAGCTTATATTTTGTTTCCTAATGAAGCAAACCACTCAGGCGGCTTTGCTCCCCATTCACTCAACCCTTCACCCTATGCAACTGCCTCCGGCAATACACATATGCACACGCACATTACTGTAGAGGTTGGACCTGTCATGAGTGACACACATGTAGAACACAGCTCTGAATTCTGTATATTACAGGACCAAACACCAAAGCAGACAAAAAATTGCTTTACCAGGACTATTCACACAATCCATTTGGTGTTTTTTTTTTTCCCTGTATGAAAAACATAAGTCACTCAAACACAGGGCTGTGATATATTACAGCATCTGATTGTAAAATAGCCTTATGTACTCTCCCTTAGGGATGTAGCGATACCAAAAACTCACAATATATTTGTCACGATATTAAAAACTGAAGGAAAAAAAAAGATGAAAAATGGCTTTTATTAAATAATTAATCAACTTTTTTGTATGTGCTCGTGCTGTCCTTATTTATTAAAATAGAAGTAGCCAGCCATGACCTAAGCATGTTCAAAATGTAGCAGTACTTTTATAAAGTAAAATATTTTTGCAGCAGCTGAATGTTCTAAACAAAACAAGCCACACTCCTAGTGGAACATCAGTGTTTTAGTACCCCCTAGACAGGTTTATCTCTTTGTTCGTGCTGACTGGTGGTTCGGTTATGTATCACTGGACCAGTTGAAGCGGGTATCCCCCAGAGGCAATAGTGAGCAAATTGCTGCTTGGTGCACTATAACTAGGAGAAGAAGTCGCCAAACTACACTAGGACAAGCCACGTGAAGATGACATTTGTGCTTTACTGGAGGTGTTTTTCAAACACTGTGGTCTACATTTTCAAGAGAAAAGACTTTAAGGGTGGTTATTAAGTGGTTGGTTTTGCATATGTGTGTCGGGTTTGTTTACCTGTCTTCATTAAATGTGCACAGTCATGTCCTGACTGTTTCTGCAAGATGTATCCACGAGTGTCTCAGTTCTAAGTAGGGCTAGTATTGCCTACATCCATCAGTATTTGCAAATTATTAGTCAGTTTCTTTTCCACCTGTGTCATTTCTTGAAACAAGAAAACTGAAATTTGGCCACGCAGCAGCTAGAAAAGGTGACGACAGAGCATCTGCTATGTCAGTTTCATATAATGCAACCTGAACACAGTCATACTATTGAAATATGCACATATTATATCTCAGTAGATACCATCACCGTCCATGACTGTGTCGAGATATTTTTTATAGTTACAAAATTACAAATATCATTATATCCCTACGCTCACTTAAACTCAGAGTTTAAGTTGAAACACTTCAAAATCCAGGTGCAGTGCTGCCCAACCTGACCATAACCTGAAGAGGTTTCAATTTCTTGATCTATAGGTATGTTATTTTATTGTCGGCATATGTGAGTGTGTAAGCTCACACTGCCTACACAAGCAGCAATCAGTCTTCCCCTCCACTCATTTTTTCTTTGCTGACATACACTAATAGCAAAAATGATACAACACCTCTGTAGCCTATAGCAGGCTCCCAATACCCCCATCTCCAGCCATATCACACATTAACATACAATGTCACTTGTCCTTAAGTGCCTATAGATTGGTTGTAATTAATAATTAAATGCTTTTGGTTGTAATGGATTGACCCGGGCTGAACTGTTCATTAGTCAGCTCGACGGAGACATCACTCAAACTATTTTTTCCTGTGCCCTTTGCCATCTCCCCTGGAGGCAAAAGGGGACTCTGTGTTGTTCCTGGCAAGCCAGCACCACCTTGCTGTCCCAGCTAATGCAGTGCTTTAGAGGAAAAGAGGATAAGCACTGTTTGTAAAGATGATTTTGCTCAGACAGAATGTAAACGTTGAGGACTGCATTTGGTTGAGGATACACAGAGAAGTGCTCTATCTTAGTCTTCCCAGTTTGTCTGCAGTTCAGGACCTAGTACAACTTGTAGAGGCATCATGGACCCATTTGAGTTGGCTTTTTTAAAAATCGATAAATACCTGAATAAAAAGGCTAACACTGATCCCATGTGGTGTGTACTTAAATACTAAGGTATTTTATCTGTGTGTAGACACTTCTGACCTCAACATTTTTAAATGCTAAGATATTTTATCAGTGTGTAGACACTTCTGACCTCAACATTATGGCCACTGTGATACATTATTACCAACATTTAGTAAGTATTGTTCATTAGTACTCATTCTGTATGGCCTCCGAACACTTTTTATTTTCTTTGGTTGTGATGCTTTGGTATTGTGCATAACTTATCCACTGTGTTCTGAAACATGCTTTAATGGCTGAATGAGTAATGGGCTTCTGTGAGTGGATCATTAATATTACTGGTGCTAGAGGTTTGTGTTGTGGGGGTGCAGTGTGACTGTCTTTTTTCCATTTAAACACAAACACATAGTGAGGCAAGTCATGAGACTTCCAATAATCACCAGATGAATACAGAGGTTTGGATTCACTCTCAAATTACAAAAAATCAATTTCTTTCTTACCTGGCGTTGGCTAGACAGGCAAATTCAATCGGCACAGTGGAGTTGGATGAAATTCAGTTCAAAAATATATCTTGAAAATTCAATAAAAACATTTCAGCTTAGAAGCTGCGTCCCAGTTTATCTGGATATTCCACTGACCACACTGTCTGAACTGTCCTGTCTTTGGTAGAAATTAGCTGGAATGAAAACAGCTGAGTGCATGTGTTTGGGATGGAGTCAAAACAGTAAAAAGTTACATCACAGGATTAGCATCAGCAAATGGGTGCGTATGTAGAAATTGCTTTTATACAAGGCCATCCCACAAAGGCATTGAATCTGGTTTAAGGAGGGCAAAATCTCTGAAAGCTGAGGAGCTTTTTGAGTTCTCTTTGATATGTTTTTGTTCATTTGGATGAGTGTTTGAAGAGAACCAAAGGGTGCCATAATCCCTGAGCGGTAGAATGACCACAAAACATCAGACCATATGTAGAACAAGACACATGCAACACTGATTCAGTGCACTTAAGAAATTATCCAGGGTGCTTTTTTAATGTTTGTTGTTAGTGTATACAGGGAGAGACACTCAGATCTTGAACAAGAAGTTCTCTCTAGTTGTTTCTACTGTCCACACTCATTAATGTGCCCGTCTTATTTGTCTGTTGAATAGCAAGTGGCTCCCCTAATAAACAACTCCCCCTTTAATTTCAAGCTTGTAATTACTGATCTAATTTAGCCTAATAATTGCTTCATGGCAATGACATGTATATTTACTTGTACCCTTGCACCCTCATAGTGTGTATTCTGTCTTATAGTGGAGCGCTTTGGCAAGCAGAGGAATAATTCACGCAGACTAGCCACTTTCATCAGCCTGCTTGTCTTTTGTGTCATCGCCTGCTGCCAGATCAAAGCTGCAGCGGTGTTCATCTCAGCTGGAGACATGAATACATGTATGAATGTGTGTATTTGCGTTTGTTTCTGCAAAAAGGTGCATGTGCATGCAAATATGTGGGGAAAGTGCAGAGAGAGATTTTGTATCAGATTTAGCCTACACAACACATAAATTATGTGTGTAGTCAACACTTTGCGCAAACTGTGGGTCCAATTGATCTTGTTTCTCTCTCTCTCTCTCTCTCTCTCTCTCTCTCTCTCTCTCTCTCTCTCTCTCTCTCTCTCTCTCTCTCTCTCTCTCTCTCTCTCTCTCTCTCTCTCTCTCTCTCTCTCTCTCTCTGTGTGTGTGTGTGTGTGTGTGTGTGTACATCATAATACAGTGACTGCAAATTATTTGGTACTCTCCCTCTAAATGGAGTGTACACTCAGGCTTGTGGTGTGCAGTGCTCAAGGGCATTTGTTTGTGTGTGTGTGTGTGTGTGTGTGTGTGTGTGTGTGTGTACATATGCTATAATATATTGCTCATCCAAGCAGCGGCAGCACTGTGAAGTGCAGTGAGATTAGAAGGAACCCATTCCTTTGTTAATTTAAATGGGTTCATGCATCATGCTTTGCGGGAGCCTGCCGATCAGAGCGTTGAGGAATGGCGAACACTGCCCAGAGGTGTTTTTAATGGCACAGCAGGGCTTCATATGTAAAGAGGTTTAATTCCCTGCATTTGAATAAATTCTTGGTTGTAGGGCCAGGCTTTATGATTTTCGTGAATATCTGAGTAGTTTGTGTATTTTGTTACCTCCGCCAAGGGCGGGGGTTATGTTTTGGCTGGTGTTTGTTTGTTTGTCTGTTAACAGCATAATGAACAGATTTTGATGAAATGTTTTGGAGAGATAGGGTATGGCCCACGGAACAATTGATTAGATTTTGGTGCTGATCCGTATCATAATTTGGATACAGGAATGTGAGTGCTGAAAGGCTGTTTACTGTGTGTGAGCCCCCTTGTGGCCAAAGTGTGCAGCAGTGCTGCTAACTACTCAGAGCACATATAGAGACAAATCCCTGGGTTAATGACAGCTGCCCATTCATTGTCAATGGAAACCGAGTGCCGTCACTCAGTGCTCCCTGCTGTACGAGACGGGAACTGAAGAAGTCCACAGAGGTGACAGCCCACAACTGGGGAAAGATCTGTTCGAAGTAGCAACAGCCGGGCAAGAGCCACTTGGGATTATCTTGATCTCAGACTGCGATGGCAGAGATTTTAAGGCAGGCTCAAAGCTGTTATCATTTTCATCCGTAGGACTGGTATTATTATTCAGTTTTGACATTTTTCAGGCAAGAAAGCAACCGCACGGCTTGAGAATACTGTACGTGGTCTATCCAAGTAATGCCAGTTAAGAATTTGTTCCAACATTTTCATAGGCAGCTACGTCTTGTTCAGAGCATAGTAGACTGTTGGCGAGGACGCCGATGTTCCATCTGCACATTATAGCTGCATTTCCACTGTCGGAACCTAACGAGCAGTACACCACATGCTTCCCTTAACTGTCACCCAGCAATACCCCACAGTCCTACTTTGCTTACTTTCTCTGTCTCGGTCTGTGTTTAGAGGAGGGAGGGGCAGAGCTCCTCTCTCTCTCGCACACACACTTACATATATACACACACACACACACACACACACACACACACACACACACACAGGGAGAGCAGAGAAGTATCATTCCATAGTGCAACAATCAGCCAGTAACGGAGACAGTATGAGCAGTTTCTGAAACAACTGCTGAACAAGCAGAACACCAGCAGAAATGTGACATCTTCACCACTTTCCCTGTTGTGTGCTCACTGAAATTCCTGTTTTACCCCTAAACAAACCAGTGAATGTCATGTTTGTCATTTTTCTTGAATATCTTTCAAACTAAGCCAGTGACAGCCAGCTACGTTGTCTCAGTACAGTAGGTTTTAACATAAGTGTAAATTGAGGTGCACCTTGGCGGAGGTTTGCACTCTCTGAATGCTGTATATCGTGGTTCATATCACTGGATGTCACTGCAGCCCATGTTTTAAATGCTGTGGGACCTGCACTTACTATTTACCTATTGGTCGACTTACTTTAGATATTTTCAGATAGCACCTCGTGTCGGAGGTTAACATCCCTGTTTTGTGCCGATGCTAAATTTAAACAATCACTGTTGCATGAAGGAAAATTAGTATTTTAATAATCCAGAGTTGTTGGTTTTACCTAATGCCAGTTTACTCAGCTATAAAAAATGTGTATATACACCACATATTTGAATGTAATATATCAGTTAAAACAAAAAACTTTCACGTGTACATTCATATATAGCAGGTTGCCTTACACCATACTTTTTGTAATGCCATATTTTTTTTTCTTTTGAATTAATGTGTAACAGGCCTTGCCAGTCTTATCATTGAAACCTGCCTGTTGTTTTGTTTTATTTCTGCTTCTATATATTTTTTGTTTTCTTGAGAACTACAAACATAAAAATACTAGAAAGAGAAAAATGCTAATTGCTCTCCGCTGGAATTGCTGGCATTGAGAAAAAGAAAGATGCTAATTTAATATTGCTATTGCAGTGCAGTGGTCCAGATTTTTTCTCCAAGGATATCAAGGGTAAAATTAAATGTACATTTTAAGGTCTTT